TTTATTAAATAATCATTTTGGAAAATCCTATAATTTTAGACCATGTTTATTTAGCTATTACGATAGTATTGATGCGACTAACCAAATATGAAAAGTGAAACCAAACTCCAGCGGAGTCTCCATAAATCTGTGGGCTACAAAAATTCAGTCCGGCCTCCCCCTTTGCTTTTTGGGGGAGTTTTAATTGATTATGTTTCAGGGTAAATTATTGGAAGACAGATTGAGATTGTACATAAGACACTACCCATGGATTTTGCCATCATTTTGTGAGGACTTTATGATCAAAGTTCTATTTTCCTATAGGCGAAACCCCTATAGTTAATTACCCCTCCCTCCTGATAACATGAGAGAACTTTTGATTAAGGCTAGTCATCAATTAGATATATAGAGAGTATGTATTATCTGACATATAGTAGCAGCATGGGTATTGGTGTTTAAAAATTGGATATTTAAAATTTGAATTTCATCCTCTTATTCTTAAAGAAGATGGTTGGGGAATGGATGATGGACCAGATCAAGATCATATTATTCCGTCATCTTGGGCTATCATGGTTCCTAGTCTACTATGTTAGAGGAGGTAGTTGACCCAACCTGATAGAATGATCCTTGTCGGCAATCATTGGTTGCTTCATCTAAGGGTACCTTGTAGACATGGGATGAGTATTTATCTAATGAGTTAAATTTAAATTCACCTTAGCTAGCAAAAGGCTTTGTTCCTTATTGATTATATTATATTGATTCATATCTCAAGGATTTGATGTCATTAGTGATCATGCAGACTCTGGCCTTAACAACAATTTAATGGTGCTATTCGGTGGCAAATCGATTGGTTTAGAGGGCCCCGATCATAAACATTTATCCTGCGATGCCATTTGATAGGAAAACTATCGATTAGTGGACACATGACACATCCCTGCTAGTAGGAGATGGTTTAAGAATTAATTTTAATAATATTCTCGATTAAACATTTGCTCTTATGAGCTAAAGTATTTTTCAATTTGAATACCATGACAAATAGTTACGGAGGGTGGGTGTAATTTTCTTTAAGTGATTTGATGGATTATTTTAATTTTAAATATTCTAAACTTAGATGTTTTTTGAAATTTGGGATTTTCAAGAATTTGGGTTAGCATTTTGAGATATTTGGAATTAACCACTTTAATTGAGATATGCATTGAACACAACCATTATTGGGGTGTTTACAAGGTCATTGCATTTTGTCTGTTAGACCTTGTCGACTCTGCCAACTTATCAACGAAGGATCAGTTACATAGAATTTATATTTTTGTTGATAATTTTCTTTTTTCGTAGACCTTGAAGGTCTTATATGAATATATATAAAAAAATATTTCGGTCGACACCCTACTGTATATCTGTTTGATAGTTCGAGCCATGTCGACTCTTATCTATCCATGTAGAAGGATCGAACTCAAACTTGGTTTCATTTATTGACCAACATAACATCCCTAGACATCACGTGTGTATCCATAACATGCTCGTCAGGATCCATATGGGTTTTATGATTGCACTTCCCCCTAATCTGTTTATATATATATATATATATTACAATTCATGCAGGAACTTGGACATTCAACCAGTCTTCTATGATAGCAAGTAGGGACTCGTATTTGTTATAGCCCTTTTATATTTGCTCATGGGTGGTATGTTAAATGCACGACCACTATTCATCAAGAATCTTACAAGCCTAAAGAATTTTATCCAACTCTTTTTTTTTTAAAGCCGTGCAAGAGCAATTGTATTAAAAGAAAGGAAATCAACAACCTAGATACAAACTAAATAGGTAGCATCTCATCCTTGATCAAATCAATCAAAGGATTCGGTATACTACCCAAAGAGAAACTATCAAAAACAAAACTACCTTCAATAGCTAAAGTATCACATAAATCATCTACTTTATTACAATTTCTATTAACATTATGAAAAACAACATTATTAAAGTCCTTCAAGAAGAAGAGATCCTTGCCCGACTATTTATCTAAGTCCCAATCAATTTTCTTCAAAGAATATTGTAAAAATTTGATCACATTAGTATTATCACTTTCAATGATAACCCCATTGCTTTCAAGCATCCAACTTTGTATAAAATCTCTAATATCAACAATTACCTCCATCTCCAATTGGGCACTATCCCAATGAATCTTATTTCTTCCAAAAACAAGAATAATCTACCTTTATGGTCTCTAAAGATACCACCAATACCACCTTTATTCGAGCTCAACAAAGATGCATCCACATTTATCTTGATCCAATCTAGTGGAGGGCGCCAAGTATAAGATAACTCCCTTGGGAGATTAGCACCCCAGCTAACTAGATAAGGAGAAGACTTCAAAATAGCTAACGAGAGCACATTAGCAGCCACATAAGAACACGACAAAACAGCCTTACCATGTTTTACTGAATTGCAGTTCTTCTAGTTCAAGAAAACATCAACACAATAAATCCTTACCATCCCAAAATTCTGGCCAGAAATCCTCTTAAGCTCTTCCAAACAACCATCCAAAGACTTAAAAGAAGGTATATTAAATCCCCAATCACGGATTTTATCAATCACCTCTTGAAGATATTTACACTGAACAATTATATGCTCATAATTTTCTGTTTCCAGACAGCCTTTAGCACAACGATCATCATTTGTCAATCTTCGGCATTTTAAAAAATGGTTTGTTGGAATAGCAAACTTGCTAAGTCTCCACCAAAAAATTTTCACATTATAGTTAAGCTTTAAGCTCATAAGCCAACTATAAAAACCATCAACATCACTAATACCTTTGTCTTTCATTACTTTATCATAAGCCAAAGCAGTTAAAGATTTACCCGTGAATTTACATACCGTTTCCAGTTGATCCCCCCGTTGCACATCTGGTTTCACAGTCCTGATAAGACTTGCTAGATCTTCATGGAACCAGTTGATTAATTTCCTTTCATCCCACTGTCCAAGATCAGTAATAAGCTGTTGAACTTTTAGATTCTCCAAAGCCTTGCAATCAAAGAACGAAGGCCACTTATTTAAGCATCTATCCAGCAGCCAAACATCATTGAGGACCTGAATTTGATCTCCTTTTCCCACTCTCCATCTAACAATAGGATTTAAAAAATTTCCTCCAGCTGTTAAAATTTTCCAAACATTAGAGGTGTAGCTTGTGCGGCTCTCATTCAGCACATTATCACCAAATTTAGCTACCATTATTCGGTGCAATAGAGTCTCAGGTTTCTGGATTAAATTCCATGTTAATCTGGCTCGAAGAGCTCCAGCTTTCCTTGTGAAGGAATGAACACCCAATCCACCAACATTCCGTGGATTACAAATTTCCTCCCATGAAACATGATGTAAACCATATTTCCCATCCTGCTTATGCCAAAGAAATTTTCTACACAACTTCTCCACCTCCAGAATCACTCTCTTAGGAACAAGAGAATGGGTTATAGAAAAGCTCGGTAAAGACATTAAAGATGTCTTTATAAGAGTTATCCTTCCTCCCAGCGACAAGGATTTCTTCCCCCACACATTAAGTCTATCAGTAACATGTCTTAACAAGTCTTGAAAATCAGCAACACCCAATCTTTGTAAAGAGATCTTAATCCCTAAATATTGTAACTCCTTCACCACCTTGAATCCAAGAAATTTTGCCACCTTTTTCCTACATGCTCTATTAACATACTTCCCAAACATAATTTGTGATTTGTTAACATTCACTCTTTTCCCTATCCAGTTACAGAAATTCTTCACAATGCCACTAATCAACCGAGCTAAGGGAGCTAAAACTTTGGAAAATAACAAAACGTCATCCGCATAAAGCATGTGTGAGATACACGACCCTCTCGAAGATACTTGAAAACCCAATGTCTGACCTCTTTGCTCAATAGCACTAGACAACAATTGAGAGAACATTATGAATAAAAACGGGGAGAGAGGACAACCTTGCCTGAATCTGCAATGTGCATCAATCCATCTTGTGTACTTTCCATTCATAACAATAGAAAATCTAGCCTTAACCACACACTCCATGAGAAGCTTTGAAAAGGTAGCAGGAAATCCGTACCATTGGAGAATCTATTTCAACGTTGTCCACCCCATACTGTCATACGCCTGCTCCAGTTTCACCGCCATCAATCCTTTTTTGTTCTTGCATATTTTGAATATATTGAAAATTTCTTGCGCCAATAAGCAATGCTCTGACATGGACCTTCCCGGGATGAATGCTACTTGCTCTTCGGATATCATGTTGGGTAAAAAATAGTTCAATATGTTTACCAACATTGTGCCCACAATTTTATTAGTACTTTGACATAAGCTGATGGGTCTAAAATTAGATGGAACAATTGGATTTTTAGTCTTAGGAATTAAGACAATAAGTTTGGCTTTCCAGTCTTTATGCATTGCTCCACCCATAAGAAATTTTTAATTGCCTTCCAAGTAGTCTCACCTACTATATTCCAATAACATTTAAAAAAGGATGCAGTTGCTCCGTCAAATACGGGAGACTTATTATTTCCCTGCTGAAATACAGATCTCCTGCATTCATCCATAGTGAAATCTGCACCTAGCAAAGCATCAATATTATCCTTTAACTTCTATTTTTCTGAAGGAGACGGCCAACCAGATAAGTCACACTCTCTATATTCCACTTCTTCTCAAAAAAATGTAAAAAGACTTGCTCTATTTGATCTTCTTCATCCACTAGATTATTGTTAGCATTCTTAATTTGCCAGATCCAATTAGCATTCCTCTGAGCTGAAGCAAAGTTATGAAACAACCTTGAGTTGGAGTCCCCTTCTTCATACCATCTAGTTTTAGCTCTTTGGTTCCACCAAGTCGATAGTCTTCTAAGAGTAATATTTAACTCATGAATCTTCCCTCTAAGCAAAATCAGATCCTCACTAGAGAGCCCAGAACCCGCAGCCTCCTTGATTTGTAACTCCATAATCTCACTCTTTAGTTTCTCTTTCATTTTTACCAAATCCAGGCATTTGTTCTTATTCTAGAAAAATAATGCTCTTAAAGATCTCTTCAATTTTGTATGAAGTATATCTTCTTCATCCCCAAAGTCAGCCTTCCTCCAAGAATTTTTAACTATACTCCAAGCAGCCGGGTATGACCTCCAAGTGTCTTCAAATCTAAAACTTTTGTTTCTGTTGATTTTCCGTGCATCCATGTTGAACACAATTGGGCTGTGATCCGACGCCACCCGAGCTAGATGTTTAACTTTACCAAATGGCATCAACTGAAGAGCTGAGGAATTGAGTAAACACTTATCAAGCCTTTCCCATATCCTCGAAGAACCATCTTTATTGTTACACCAAGTAAAACTTGGTCCAACAAAACCTGCAACATGAAAATCAGCATTAGTTAAAAATTCTTTCATCTCTCTCGGTCCTCTAGAGAATAAAAACCTCTTGCCACCCTTTTTCTCTTCTTTATTTAATATACAATTGAAGTCCCCCCCCCACCCCACCACAATGGCATGACCCGAATCCATCAAACTGTTCTCCAGCATACTCCAAAGAATCCTTCTCTCATTATTACACCTACTACTGTATACTGTAGCTACCTTCCACACACCCAAAGAAGGTGTATGAAGAGATCCAACCACAACTTGAGAATCACTTCTTTCAACAGTAAAAGAAACACTTTTCGAATTCCAAAGCACCATAATACCACCCGCAGTGCTCACATCAGGGAAATGAAAGTAATCCCAATCCTTCCCAATCAGAAAATCAACATCAGTTCTATCAATACTAGATAACTTGGTCTCCATCAATCCAACAAAGCAAACACCATGATCTCTAACTATCTCCTTGAGATACAAGGAAGCCTCCTTCTTCCTAGCTCCCCTGCAATTCCAGAAAAGTAACGAATTCATTTATTTACCATCGGGAAGCTATCCCCTCCTTGCAAACTACCTTTATTCTCCTTCCTCTTTTTCCTATGTTCTATCTCCAAGGGGCCTAATGCTTTTAGTTCCTTAGCAAGTTTAACCTTTGTCAGACTGTTATTCCTAGAAATAACCATTTCCACTTCCTCTGGCTTCTCAACATCATCAGCCCATTTCTTCTGGTGGTTCAAACACGAAAGATCCGTCACCTCTCCTTCTTCAATATCATTGAGCAGATCATCAAATTTGTTTGAAACAATAATCTCCCCAGCATGATCTTTATTACAAACTTCATTATTATCATTGTTTACCATAACCATATAAGTCTGATCCTTCTGAACTTCTGGCTCCATCATAGCTTTGTTTCCCAACTTCTGATTATGTCCTACTTCAAATTGAGAGACTCGAGCCATAACATCAATTCCAGCAGTATTTCTTCCAGATTTATCAACAGCCTTTGCCTTACCATTCCAAAACCTCCTATTTTTAAATTTAACGTGTATCCACGGCCCATACTTCTCATTAGCTTCTTCAGCACCTTCTTTGTTATCCTTCCCATTCACATTCTTCATAACTTCAACTTTCTTAACCAGCAGCTCCACAGGAATTTTCTTCACACTTTCAGGACAAACCTTGCTATCATGCCCAACCTTCCCACACTGGTAGCAGAATAGATCAATCTTCTCGTATTCAATTCTTTGGAAAAAATGCCAGGCAATTCCATCAACCCAAACTCATTTTGGGAGACTATTCTCCAAATTCAATCTTACACATACCCGGACAAACTCCCTCCCTCTTTCCCCATTTAAATGAATTTCCATCTAGCAGCATAGGAGCTCCAATTCTCGACGCAATCCTGACGATGTTTTCCTCGTCCCAACAATACAGTGGTAAACAAGGAGATCGAATCCATACTGGTGCAGTAAATCCTATGAAGGAGTTAGGATTAAAAAATGGAGACCACTTGTCCATCCCAACAATATGGCCTCCCACGAACCAAGGGCCCCCATTAAGAACCTCTTCCATTGCTTCCACTGATTTAAACGAGCATAAGATCCAGTTTAATCCAATGGAAGTCATATGAAAACTTCCGAACTTACTCCACTATTTCCTCAACTCCAAGCTACACAGAGGAAATGGAACTCTGTCTCCTAAAACCTTAATAAACAGAGAATGTTTCAAAACCTCCGAATTTAGCAATTCCTTCTCAGCATTGAGTTTAACCGCCATCCCGTCTTCAGACATCTCCGAAACCATCTTTCCATTAGAGATCTTAATGTGCTTAGTCCTTTTCCATGCTTCTTTAAACTTTTCCTTCACATCATTCAAATCAGATTCCCGAAGAATAGAGGAATCCTGATTCTTGTTCAAACTCAACTTCCCTTGAGGAAATTCATCAACTAATTCCTTTGCAGCATCATCAATATCAGAAACCATATCCCGTTCAACATGTTCTTCCCGATTTACCACAAACTTACTAACCTTCAGAATTGCGCCCGACGATCCAGACACATCTGGATTATTTTCAAGAACCGATTTCTCAATCACCTTGCCATTGATTTCCTCCGGTTCACTATCAAGAACAACCTGCTTTCCTTTACCATCAGTCATTTCTCGATGAACCATTGGCCTCGCCCCCTCCCTGATAACAATTCCTGACTTACCAATACCACGATTGGTACCCGTCGAACGAACATTTGTCATAATCCAAACACAGATTACATGCCGATCATAAGACCGACGATCAGCCGGCTGCACAAAAATTCGGCATCAAAATATTCCACTTGCACAAAGCCCACGAACACATGAATTCGAAAAAACAAGAATTCTCTCTCTAGAAAACACCGGGAGCTTCTCTCTCTAGATCGAATTTTATCCAACTGAATGTTCAAAACATGGTTAAATTGGGACTCACTCCATCTTTGAAAATATTGATTTGATCTATTTTTTTTTTCTCAAAATTATATGGAAATCAGTGGCCACTAACTTGAACTGACAGCTATTGTGATGAAAGATACTTTAGATTGTCCAGGAGATCCTTGCATAATATCCATTTTTAAGTAAACTATTACGGCCCTTGGGATGATTGGAACAATAAGTATATTTTTGGTTTGTAATTGTGAGTTTAAACCACAAATCTTTGCGTTAATCTTCTATAGCACATTTATCAAACATTGATCATTATCTCCAATGAACGCAATGCAATGTGTGCTGACATTCATTTGAATGCATTTAGACACATCACGTCGTCATTTCCACTACACGTCAGATCATTCTTATTGCAACTGACATTTTGATTGCGGTATGCATCTCTTGCAGTGTCATTGAACCCTTTGCTTATAAGGATTTGATGTCTTTTCTTGTGATTGAATCATTATCACCCACAACTAGGAGGTACTAGTCATACTCAAGCTGTATCATACCTTTTTTTAAATCCTCGACATATAATTACAACAAGCAAAGATTTATTAATATTTTTAGTGACTCGGCGAATACATTAATTATACTCTTATAATATCATTTATAAGTTAAGTATAGAGTAAGAAGATTTTCAACTTTCTAATATTTCTGGGATCTCTCAAATTGCTAGTTTCAATAGACAAGTGTCGGCTCATATCAGTAATTCTACAACCTTTGCCACTAATGGAGACAACACTCATCATCCTCTAAGCCCCTCCAACGTCAGTAGTTCTCTCTTCTTGTAAGGGAAGGACATGTAGACTTGCCATAATATAATTGTGAGTGATATGAGAAGTTATCATTGGCTTTCATACTCACCTTGCACTGTAGGGATATTAGATCTCCAAGTTTTGCTTATGATTGTATCACATCACCACTCATAGATGAATCATTGCATGCATTTGGAATGATCATTTGCAAGATTCCTACAAACATCATTTTCCAATCCTGCTCTTAGTGCATTGAATGCTTTCATCATTCAACATGTTTACATTCATCTTCTCATGAACATGATTGATATACTCATTTATGATTTACTCCTCATTATTCAAAGATTTATTGCTAGAGTGCATGAGTCTTTTCTCATATATCTATTTCTGATTGTCATCTTAAAGATCCATGAATCTCATCTTGAATTTCTGATTTTAATTTAATTTCTTGTCAAATCCCATTCATGTGCAAGTTTTATATTATTTTATGCAAGTTTTAGTTCAAATTCTTGTGATTGTTCAAGTCATATCAAAGTCCCTTTAGTTTAATTCTTTTTAGGTCAAGTTTTATTAATTGAATCATGTTTAAGTCAGAATTGTTACTCATTTGTACTTATATGTATCTGCACTTCGCCATAGGTGTCGCACTGCGTTCTCATCTGACCATGCTAAGAAAAGCATGTATAGGCATTTTTTGGTGCATCACAAATACCAAAAATAAGGCTTTTGTTAATTACCCACTTTGTCATAAGCATCGTGACAAACTTCCTCCCATCACGCTAAAAAAAAGCATGTATATGTTGTTGTTTTGTTGCGCTACAAGCATCGAAGTTGAGCTCTTGGAGTTTTATGGATTGAAGGGTTATACTTTTGCATGCATTTCGGCGGTGTTGAAGTTTTACAAAAATGCATAAATACTTTTTTTTTTTTTAATATTTCCCTTTCTTTCTTTTTTTTTTTCCATTTCTTGTTTATTGTTGGAAACTTCCTTTTTTATGGAAGTGCACACACACACACACACTCACACAAATATATCACAAATAGATAATAATGATAATAATAATAATAATAACAATAATAATATAATATTATTAATAATCACTTATTAAGTCACTAATAATAATATAGCAATGATTATATTGTTTTTAATTATGATAGGATTACTAATAATAAAATTATTAGTCACTAAAACATTTATTAGTAAGATCAACTTAATACATTACTAATGGCTTTGCTATGAAGCTAACAAAGAGGAAATGGGCCAGGTTTATGTGTTTGAGAGGCTGTAGCTCAGATGGGGCTTGATAGAGAGAAGAGCAGGTGGGGGTTCAGTCTAGTGGTATGGAAGAGAGTGGAAGTTAGCTCTAGCTATAAGGTCGAAAGACTTGTGTCGGCTTGAGGTAGGTAATTTTTGGCTACAGCAAGGGAACAAGAAATTTGGAGGAGTATTTATGTTGGTGTCAAGGGACGCGACTTGAGTTATGGTTCGGGATTTGGTTGGAGTTGATAGTGGAGTTTGGACGCAGATGGCTTTGCCACGACTAAAGCAGGTCAACTTGAGGAGTTCAGAAGGTTCTATGATAAATGGATGTTTCGGCTTCAACATGTTCTTGTACGACTTGAGAAAGGGGGAGGTAGGTTTGAAGGTTTAGGTGTACGGCCAACTTTGACAGGGTCGGAAGGTTGGCGGGATGAAGATTCTAGGGTGTTGGCACTAGAATGTTACATGAAGTTGGGTGTTGGGTAAGGAAGATTATGGGTTGAAGTTGTGGGAAAAAAATGGAAGGATGAGGGAAGAGCTTAGGTTGGGCTTTGTATGTGAGAGAGGAATAGAATTGGAGCCTAAGGCTGTGCTACTTTGTGTTTTTAACGAGAGCAAAAGCTCATGCAAATGAGCGAATCCTTGGAATCGATGCAAATCAAAGCATATACGTGAGATTATGGGATTTGCTTGAAAGATACGAGGTATACCAAGTTTTGATTTATGCTTTCTTCCTCTTTTTATTCTTTATGCAGAGATCAACAAATGCCCCCAAATAAATATGATATGTGTCTAGACCAAATCACATTTGTTGTATGTTGATTAACCTTATAGATCTCCAAATATCTGCTTTAGCTGTGACATAGAGATTTTCATTTAGTGGTGCTTCAAAAACCTGTTTGGATTTTATGTAAAGGGCCTCATCTTGTAGATCTCGAAAAGCCTATTTGAATGTCATGCTAAATTTTTTATCTTATAGATCTCCAAATATCACTATCATATTGATTCATACTTGACAAGATCCATTGTGTCAATCAAATTATAGATGATAAGTTCAT